GTGAACTGGTTGCTCTTGAGAAGAGCTCAGCCTCTGATTAAGCCTTTGCAGGTCTGTCCTAAGCAGTAAAACAATAGAGAGAGAGAAGTGGTAAAGTCCTGTGCTGTGCTGGTGCTTAGCACGCTGCAATACTGTTAATTAAGCTTCGTTAGTTTGATGTCCAGGTTTTCTGACGTGAGGTTTTGATCTAATCTTGCAGAATTCTAAAACTCTCGCCTTTCTTCTTTTTTATGTGCAAGTACATCTAGAAAAGATTTTCATAATTTCTTTGTGTCCAGTTTCTCTAATAAGGTTGGACAGATTCTCACAGTTTCTGTTGCTAATATGATTCCTGGCAAATAGAGCAGAAGGTTCAGGAGAACAAAAGAAGTGATCTAATTTTAGTAATGGTGCAGACTGAGTCTGTCATTTTTTTCTCTCTTTTATCCTCCTACCCTTTCTGAATGTCAGAACCTCTCCCAGCACTGCCTCTTTTCAGTTTGAATTGAATTCTTGTTCCTCGTCAAGGACTGGACATGATGAGTTTTAAGATACTGCTCTGAACAAACACTGAATATTTGAGAGGTTGATCAGTGAAATCCTGACTTGTCACAGGTAATTTGCTAAGAACGAACTACTTCCAGTGAAGCTTTTTGCAGATTAGAAACCCTTATATCTGAAATTTCACTTAACATGTATGTCATATTTCTATTCTCCACTTTAAAACTTGAATTGTAGTTTGAGTCTATTACAACGTAAAGGCAATAAAGGAAGTTAGTTTCTGTGCAAGTAGGTCTGTTCAGTTTGTGAGATGCTCAGACCTTGATCCAGCAAAGGTCTTTAAGCCTGTGCATAATTCAAGTGTGAGAATTTCTATAGAGAAGCCTTAACAAAAAACATATTCTTTTGAAGGCGATGGAAATACTAACATGTTTTAAATTAAACATACGCTTACAAACTTTGCTAGGTTTGCATCTCGGTGGATTGTTCTAGTGAACAGCAATTACGCTTGTGTTAGTCAACCTTTATTCTTGTGCTTCTCTTTTGGATGTGAGAAATAAACAGGCTGTGCTTGCAGTTTGGAGGATGGCAATTATACACATCTGATGTGCAGAACTGGACAAGAAAGCAAAGAGTAAAGAATAACATGGTTTGAAGTGAAAATTGCTTGAGCAGTAACAAAATGCAGAGGATGTCCTTTGCTGGATGTTTTATCGTGTGCACTACACAAACACCACTGTGGTTAGAAATAAATTATAGTTCAACATTTAGAGATATTACAAAATGAAAAATAAAGCCAGCCTTAAGATTAATTTTGTTCCTGAACAAGTCCACTTAATCAACCATGGCAAACCATGATTAAAAATGTGCAACTGTTTTTCAAAACAAGTAATTTCTCAGTATCTCTCTCCAGTTTGTTTCATTTCATGTCATCATTATAGAAGGGGGCAGACAAGCATTGCAATTGAATCTATGGAACCTACAGCCATATGATGATTGATGTAACAGACCACACTATTAGACCTAAAATTAGACGTAAAGTACACTGCATGTACTTTAGAATAGTATTTTCATCTGTCTTTGCAGATGAAATAATTAGGTAGACCTCCTCCCCTAACTTACATGATGGATTTAAAAACTAGGCTGAACGATTTTGAGATGTGAAGAGTTTTGCTTCTCAGCTCTGTGTCTTCAGGAATTATATTTAGGTTGCTTTTTCTGAAATCATTAGGCCTGAAAAAAATAAAACCTTAAATGTATTCCAGGAACTGCAGCTTTAAAAAGCCCTCTGCCAAACAGGCAAATTGGCAACGAAATCTCCCTTATTGTGACCAAACAGCTCATCATTTAACCAGGAAATGGAAGGGAGGGACCGTTCTTTCTCCGTTCCTGTTTTCCGTCTGTGAAGAGGCTTGGATGGTTCCACCCTGAGAGTGGTGGGAATGGCTGCACCACAATGTGGGTGTCCCCAGGGACACTGTCCCCCATGCCCAAGACACCACGTGGTGCTAACAAGGGCCAACTCTTTGTCCTCTCCCTCTCTTTCCACAGCAAATACACACGTGACCGCCAGCCCACGCCTTCTAGAACTGTTCAGTCTTGTTTATCCCTTACCTCTTCCTGCTCTGGTGCTTGGCCATTGCTCCCACTCCACCTACAGTCATGGAATAGCACAATATTTCTGCTGAAATGAATGGTCATGAAATGCTTCACATCCAGGGGCTGGGTGGAAGACTAGAAATGAGCAGGAGGGTCTGGGGGCTGCTGGCAGTTCCCCAGAGTACAAGAAGGTCAGCCCTGCCAGGTGTCTCTGTTGGGTGCTCTGGAACCATCTCCATAGTTCTTTCCTATATATGCCATTTGTTTGTCATGGGAAGATTTTCTGGCTGGGCTGGGACATCTGTGCCCCTTTTGGTGCAGAAGAACTGGTGGCACAGGCTCAATCCCCATTTCAGCCTCTCCCATTGCTGCCCCACGCAGCTCTTATCAGGGAGCTGATACTGGTGCTCACAATGTCGATGTTCAGGAGACACATCAAGAAATCTGGCGTACAGCCCACGGCTACAGCTCAGATTCTGCAACAATAATGTTTATGTTGGCAGGCCATGGAACAGAAACTCGCCTTCTCTCCAGCTGACTGGTGTGATTCTAGCAATTAATTCAGCTTTTCCAGGCGCAAAAGTTTGTTGATACAGCTTGTGGCTCTTCCTGTTTCAAAACACATCAATAACTTGGAAAAAAAACCCCAACTAGCTAGGCAGTCACGGAATCACAGAAGTGTTGAGGTTGGAAGGGACCTCTGAAGGTTGTCTAGTCCAGGCACTGCTCAGAGCAGAGTCAAGTACAGCAGGTTTCTCAGGGCTGTGTCCAGTCAGACTTTGAGTATCATCAAGGAGGGAGACTCCACAACCTCTCTGGGCAACCCTTTCCAGTGTTGACTTCCCTCTCAGGATAAACTTCTCATATTTAAATGGAGTTTCCTCTATTGTAGTGCATGTCCATTGCATTTCCGTTGTCCTCTCACTGGGCACCACAGAGGAGAGTTTGTCCCTTCTTACTCCTTTACATCATATATTTATATACATTGATATGATTCTCTTGTCCTTCTCCAGACCAAGCAGTCCCAGCTCCTTCAGCCTCTCCTTGTGTAACATATTCTCCAGTCCCTTAACCATCATCGTGGCCCTTTGCTGGACTCATTCCAGTATGTCTGTGTATCTTTTGTACTGGGAAGCTCAGGACTGGACACAGCTCTGGAGATGTGACCCCCACTAGTGTTGGGGAGAGGAGAAGGATCACTTCCCTTGACCTGCTGAAGGTTCCTAATGCAGCCCTGGGGGCTCTTGATCCTCTTTGCTGCAAGGTCACAGTTCTGGCTCATGGGCAGCTTGTTGAACACCAGAGCCTTCCTTGCCAAGCTCCTTTTCAACTAGTTGGCCTCATCCTGTACTGGTACTTGGGGTTTTTAATCTCTGTGTGCAGGACTTTGCAATTCTCTGAGTTTGATGAGATTGCTGTTTGCCATTTGGAAATCTTTGTAAAGAACTGCTAGGGAGAGAGCTGGAGGGATGGAGACTGAAGTATCTGAGATCCCCACAAAATCCATACATCATTAGTTGTCTAGTTTTTTAACTCATGACCCTCACATTTGTAAGACCATATCATCATCTAGAGCTGTGGAACCTTTCAGAAATCTGAAATGAGGACAAAAGCAATCCATACAAGTATTACCTGTGTAAATCTATACAGAAAAGAGCAGCTGCAGTTATTTAATTCTCTGTGTTGTAATTTGAGTCTTAAAATGTTTTATTTGCAGCACTTCTGTTTCAATCACAGTAATTCTGCCCCAAAATAAGCATGTGTAAATGGGATTCTCGGGGTTATGAATGAACCACTTATTTTCTGTATATTTATATGACTGAAATTCATAGTTTCCTCTGTATACTAGTCTATATTGGATGTCTCAGACAATGCACTAAGGACATTAAGAGCACAATCCTGGTTTCTTGGAAGTCAGTAAGGAAAATGCCTTTGTGTTGGAGGCAGCCTTTATTTTCAAATATTTGGAGATAGGAGAATCCAGGCTTGTTCTTTCATCCGCACGGGGAAATTTAAGCACATGCGAAACCTTCTAGCTACCTTTCTTTACCCAAACTCACAGAGTAATTAACATAGTTTACTTACTTTGTTTAATTTCTTTCTTTTGGCTTGAAATGTCTTTCATTTTCTTTCAGGTTTTATGCTGCAAATTTATCAATAATTTTGCACCAAAAATTAGATTTGTCAAGAGAGTAAGCAACTAGAATAACTTTATAAAGGGATGCAGCAAAGAAAAAGTAGAAATGTTGCTGAAATTCATTTAGGGTATTTACAATGTGCTCACTCCTAACTTCACTATTGGAGCAAATCAGGGCAGAAAGTCTCTGTGACATGGTAGTGTGAGTTACTTTGGGTTCATGGAGATCTGGGCTGCAGATTTGAACCCCTCAGCTCCATTCCTTGAGTGCCTGGACACAGCCCAGCCTTGCCTGGGGCTGCCTTTCTGTCTTTATTCCCTATAAATTCCTGCACCTTCCCATCAGGACACTTTGATTTGGAGGGTGGAAGAATGAATGGCCTTGAGTTTAAGGTTCTGGACTGAGATGCACTCAGGCTAAAAAAGTCAAAAATTCCTTTCTTTAAACATCTGTGGTTTCATGTGACCTTCAGTGAATCTGCTAAAACTTCAGTTTTCCCCCTGCAAATTCGGTACTGTCCAGCTAAGTTGGTTGGATAACAGGTGGTAGGAGGGAAAACACAATTATTTATAAAAAGCCCCAAATCCTGCTTCATAGACAGATCTCATCTCTTGTAAATGGGTTACAGAAAGCATAGCCACAGTCACACGGTGTGTTTAATAGGTCCTGTTAATGTTTAACACTTTTTCCCCCTCTGAAAGTTTCCATTTTGAAGTCAGATGACTCTTAATATGTTTGTGGGTTGTTTTTTTTTTTTTTTTTTTCATTTGCAGTTAACACATTGACCTGGCGTCTTGGCAGCAGCACCGGGAAGCTGCCTTGGTGAATCCTGGTCCTCCGGTTTTCCTTCCTTTTGAAGGAAGCCCCCATGAACGGGTCCCTGGGATTAAGGAGGAAGCGGAGGTTTTAATGAAGCAGACTCCATTCTTCTGAGGGGTGAAGGGAGGTAAGGGGAAGATCCTGTTGCTTATGTGATTATTGCTAATTACTGTAATTGAACATCCTCATGACAGGAATATTTGGTGCCTGAGGTAAAGCTTGTTTGCTCACATTCCTTTTTTTTCAGCTGTCTCGTGGTGCCCTCTCGAGGTGGGAGAGCAGCCCGTTTTATTCCCTGTTTTACAGCAGCTGGAACACGAGCTGGAAGCACAGACCTCGGTGAAAAAGCTGAGAAATTGCTATTGCTTTGAAAAAAAATTTGAATTTACTATAAATCCGTGTAAAATAAGTGGGATCTTTTTTAGTCCCATTAAAAAAACCACGCCAATCCCTTTGCTTCCATCTTTTCAGTGAGATCAAGCACTCAAAAGGACCCAAAAAGCACAGGGGATGCTTCTTCATGGTGCCCTGAGGCCACAAAGGTGCATTTCCTTGGAGCACGAACAAGGTTAAAGGCTGTTTCCATGAAGGAAGGGAACACATTTCCCACAACACGCTTTTGTGCCCTTGAAGCAAAGCACAAAATGCATCAGGAAATGCTGACGTGTTTGGATATTAAAGTGGATTAGGAAACCTTGACACATGAGAAGGGCTGACCTTAGGGCTCGAGTCAAACAGAGGGTATTGTGCTTGTGAGGGAGGTCTGAATGCCTTGGATGCCGTCACCACCTCGCTGTGAAGGACTGCAAACTGCAGGCTTCTCTGTAAAAGTGACTATTAGATGCTCAGTCTTGAAATACCTCTTGCCAGGTGACAGCAGATCGTCCTTCAGAAAATGCCTCATCTTAAATCCAGCGAGGAGCAAGGACTGGCAGTATGGTGAGTCCTCAAGAGGCAGTGAATTAATCACTTTGGGTTTGGACTGGGATAGGGTTGATGCTCAGAGTTTGAGGCAAGCACATCCAGCTTTTTTTTTACACTATGGGTACATGGTGATTTATTTAAAAATACGTATTTTAGAAAAATCTCTGCTTCTCATAGATAACTTTTGAAGGGGATAAATGTAAGCAAATGCTGAGCAACATGCCGAATCTGAAGGCACAGTTCTCCTCCACAGAACTGCAAACTGAAGACTCAAGGCTCCTGTTGTGTTGAAAAGGGACTTTTGAGCCCAACGAGGGGTAAGATATTAATAAAACCTTTGTTCACTGTTACAGTAGGGAACAGCTAAGTGTGGGTTGGGGTTTCCACCAAGTTAACCCTGACTTCTTCCCATTGCCACCAATACTGCTAAGAAACCCCTTTAAGATAGCAAACAAAAACCAGTTAATACTATTTATTTTGAATGCTGTATTTAAGCAAAACTTTCCTTCTGAAACACATCTTTATTCTCTTTCCTTGTTGCTAGACTAGGGGCTTTAAGGAAAATTCACATTTTATGTGGCATTAACTTTCTTTTTGTGGGGAAAAAACAAAGTTAGCTTGAGTGATCTGAAGCTGTCTTTAATATTAATGGAGTTTTATTTTCTTTGAGGTGAAAGTGCAAGTGTCCTGAGTCTCCCCAAACACACGCTAACTGGACTTATTTTATTATTTCCTTCCCTGTGGCCTGCTGGGTTTTGCCCATCCGTAGTTTCTCCCTGTTGTTGTCAGCTCCTTCAGATCCACGACCGGACAGAATTGCTGTGGTAATTGGAATAATAACAACACAAAGATACGGAAAAATAAGGCAACATTAAATCACCATTTCCACTTTCTATTTCTCCAGCAACGAGGGGCAAAAGGGAGATGGCTTCTGTCTGCAGAGTTGCCTTTCATTTACAACTGTGCTGTTATGGAACCAAAGGCTACTCAGTGCATGGTTTTGGAAACCCTTTGGATAATTATGGGGTAGTGGGAGATGTTGGTTTAGGTGCATCTTCACAAGAAGCTGCCAGTGGTGTGATGACATTGTAGTATTACCTTGACAGCGAGGGAGGAAGTGAAGGAGGGAGGTGGCAGGTGTACCTGGGTACTCTCTGGTCAGGTCAGGAGGTCTTGAGCATCAGAGGTCCCATGGTGTCATGTTTAAAAGCAGGCTGGCAGAATATGTTGGGGTGACAGCCACGTTTCCTCCTGCCCTTATACCCTCCTCTGCTCTCCTTTGTGCCCACCCTTCCTCATCTAAGGGATGGTGGCATCTTTATTCTGGTAGAATTAACTAATCAAAGTACGCTGTTGGTGATTTCAATTATAAATGTTTCCTCCCATTCTTAAAATGTTTTCGCTTGTTTTCTTGGCAGGACCTTGAGGAGCTCTCCTGAGAGTCCCTTTCACATAGATATGCACAGAATGAATAGTTTATCTCCAGCTCCTGCTGACTTTCATGAATAATTTGATGTAAAAAGCTAAGTTGGATTTCTGCTGTGTCGGTTAAATTGGAACTACCAGCTTCTAATATTCCAGCCACAGACTGAAACAGACTTTCTGGTTTTAGAGGCCAAAGTGGCCCCTCTGGCTTCCACTCATTGTGAATACCTTACCTTTTTTTCCTCCTTTAACTACCTGTCTGCTTCAGGCTCCCCCAAAACATGAAAGAGGCTCTAGGGCTTCCAGCTGACAGAACATCTCTTGTGAATGAAAGCTCTTTGCTTAAACACAGAAGATTTGGTGGGACGTACAGCTGTGATTTTTACTGTTTCTTGTTTTTATTCTCAGGAGTATGCCAGAAAATCCAGTGGTCAGCCCTGAAGGTAAGCAGCTCATTTTACAGAGTGTATTCATCTGCCCACTCTCATTGAAGGCAAACAGAATTGCTTATCTGAGTAATGTCACACGTGTGCCTAAATGATTGCAAGAGACTGAAAGGAGCTGGGAGTAGAAATAATAGCACTACTTCATCTCTCACAGAGCAGAGCCAACAAAATAATGAAGCCATGTGAATAAAGAACCAACATAATAATCAAGCTCTAACCATTTTTGGGAAAATTAGCACATCTTCCATAACAGTAACAGGCTGCCGGGAAAATGGTGCAAAATATTAACTGTCAGGTTAAGCACACCTTAATCAACATGTGCCGAGTCCCACTGATGTGTCCTCAAACCTGTTACTTAAGTACTTGTTAAGGCCAATTAAATAAACAAAATTTTAAAGCCTAATAGCATAAACCGCATAAATAACATAAAAGAGCCATAATGGTTGAATGGGTGGGCGTTTAGCCCTTCTTGATTTAAAACAGTGAAGTGAAAAGTGTTGGAGCCCTTGAAGGTGATTTTGAAGACGAGGAAGTGACTGTGCTACACAAACAGCAATCAGAGACAATTAAGAGAACTGGGACAAGTGCCTCATTCTCCCAGCAGACTGCATGGGAAATTGCACTTTACATTTCAGTCTCGTTGCATTTTCAAATAAGGCCCCCAGCTATGTCATTTTTTCAAGTCCAACTCAAATCAAAAGATATTGCTTAAAATCTTCCTATTACTCCAGAAGTGAAAGGAATGATTGTCTATGGTGATGAGCCTGGAAGATTGTCTTGGAAAGAATTTGACAGTTTTGTCTTTCTGGTCCCATTATAAGGTTATTACTGCCCCTGAAGGAGACTGACAGAGCCTGAATGCTGGCGTGAGGACGAGGGTGGTTGAGGATGGCTCTGTGCTGCTGCAGATTTTGTGTTGTTTCTCTACAGAAACAGCAGAGAAACTGTGAGCTGCGATGTGCATGTGTTTTCTCTTAAAGCTTAATCTGATGAAGAATCTCAGCGAGACCCTGTGCTAACAAAAGAAACAGAGCATACAAGCAAGCTAATAATAAAAAAAAAGAAAAAAACAAACCATAAAAATGAAAAGAATGAAAATAGGGAAATTTGGAAATAGTTATTCAGGGCTAATTATAACCTTGTCCCTATGCAGAAAGCACAGCCTACCAGTGATACTTTTTTAAGAACTTTCTGTTAAGCTCGGGAAGGTTTTGGTATGTGACTCAGAAATTTCCTGAAGTGCTGAAGTGGTCTCACTTTTGTAGCCTTCCTCCCACAGACAGGAGTACAATGAGCTTGCAGAGCTCTTGTAGCTGGTTTGGTTTGCCAAGAATAAGTGTGGGTGGCTGGGAATGAGCCCTGCCCTCATCTCTGGCTCCTGCCAGGGTAGAAAACACTGGCCCAGCCGATGCTGTTCCCCAGTGCAGCCTGGAGTGCAGAAGGACACAGGGACACCCTGCACTCCATCTGACTGCCCGTGTGGTGCCCAACAAACCTTCCCTGAACCAGCCCTGACTCCTCTGCTCAGTGTCATGAAAGCTGTTAAATGGAGGAGGCTGTGGTGCATCCATAGAAGTGATGCAAGCTTTGCCTTACAGCAGTTTTCCCATGGAAGTATCTTATCTTACTGTTTTCTTTCCATAGGGCACTTTTTCCTTTTAAAGGTTTTTATTTTAATGGAAAAGGCTCTAAATGCAAATGTTCAATGACAATGCTAACTGATAGAAAGTTAGTGTAAGATCTCTCTTGATACAATCAACTCTGCATAAACCAGGTCGTCATAGAAAACAAGGACCTAAATCAATTATTTCCAGAATAAAGATTTAAACTTTTGTGTTTCACTGTATAACAATTGTCTGAGAGATAACAATCTGGTACTTACTCTTCTTAACCTAAGACATAAACTACTCAGATGTCAGACAAAAAAAGCAGTGCCTTGTTGCTTTGAGAGGGTTGCAGAGCAAATATGCCCACTGAAATTAAGAGGAATTTGTGAAGAGAACAAGCTCCTTCTGAGCCAGGGATTTTGGAAGTAATTTATAAATTGTGATGGCCCCAACAAGAAGCCTTCTGCAACTCCAACAGGATCATTCATATATTGAACTACACAGAAGAAAGCAAAATAGTAAAAAATCACACTCACTGCCCTTAGAACCTTAACCCGGTTCCCAGAACCACAATGGATAATGCCTCTATGAAAAATTCATATATTTTGGTGGGACTTCCTTGGAGCATGGTACTACTCAACTAATGACTGCAATTTTGGGTCCTAACCTGCTTCATTTAAAACAGCTTTAGCAAAATTACCTTTAGGGGCAAAATCTTGTTACAATAAGTCCCATGGGAGTTTTGTGACTGAGTTTTCTTATTGTACAACGATTAAATTTTCCTACTTGTCCGTGTACCTGAAATATGGGACTCCTAAGTGGAAGAAGCACATTTATGTACACAAAAATGATGTATCTAAAAATGCAGGGTCTGTTATTTTATGTTCAGTAGTAGCTCTGTGGCTCTGCATCCATAACACTCTGTTGTTCTCTGAAACGGAGCCGAAAGGCCGACGGGAGCGAAATACCAACCTGAGATGGCAGTCTAGCAAGGAAGGCAGTGCTGTCACTGCAGAGGGACTTCGAGCACAAGGAGTGACACTTGCAGTTACTGAGGCTGTCAGTCCAGATCTGTGTTGCTTTGGTACCCTGGATAAAGATCGGGCCAACTTAAGAGCTGGCGACACGCCACGCAGACAGATGGACAGATGGGTGAGCAACACAGAGACCGTGCTGGAGCATCAAGTGTGGGTTCTGAAGGCAGCATTCCTAGCTGGGAGATTCCAAACAGCTGGCCAGCCTGAATTTTTTAAAAACAATTTATGTTTCAGGAAATGCCGCAGTTTGTTGGGTTCTGGGTGATGTAACGTACTGAACAAACCAGTGATGGGAAGGGGTATTGTTATTTATTGCTGGTAAATATGGCTTGAGATGCACAAAAAGGAGGAAGTGAAGAAGGGGCATTCCCTCTGAGCCCTGGAGAGAGTGAGGGTGAAAAATGATAATAGAATTTCCCTGTGTTTTTCTGTGTCAGGGCAAAACAGACCCCACACGCTGGCTGAGCAGAGCAGCAGAGGGAGTGTCAAAGCTGTGTGTTGGAGATGGGAAAAGAAATCTCACTTTGGATTTAGGAGCTGGAATTCTTCATAAACTCCCACTTCAGCCTTCTTCTCCCAAGAGGATCAGCACCGGGGTAGAGGCACTATGGGACAACTCCTTTCCTGGGACAAGACAAGGGTAGACACAGGAAAACTTGAACTTTTATTACAAGCTGGAAAACTGAAACCCAAAGGTGAAAATCTGATACCAGTGTTGTGGTTTTTTTTTTTTTTTTTTCCCCTGTTTGTTTTTGGTTTTGTTTTGTTTTTAAATAAAATAGTTTAAAAGAAATTATCTGAATTTAAATATCTAGATTCAAGCAGTTTATTTACTTGCACAACAAACTTCAAACAGATGATTCAAGTGCAAGTAAAAATTGGGCTGCTCTGTTGGAATTTGAATGGTTTGTCTTCACATGCATCAGCATCCCTTTGACTTACAATATTTCATCCCTTCTGTTTGCAAAATGGGTAGGGTTTTCCCAGGCAGATACTTTATCTTGATTGTAGCATATTCTGTTTTTGAATAATCAGATCAAACTGCAAGTCAAACACCTCTTCTACTCCATTTTCTATAATCGTTTCATCATTTCTTTTAAATTAATGGGGTTACCTCATGTCTTTTTGTCAGTGTGATGCATACTGGGCAATCAGGTCATTCCAGGCTGCTTTTGTTTGTGTTACTCTTATGAATTCAGTTTATATTTAACCCTGGGAATAACAGACATAAAAGGACAACACCAAAAAAAAAAAGGGGGGGGGGATGCATCCAGTGCAGTCAATATCACATCCAGTCACAGAGGTAGGAGAGGACAGGATGATTGAAGGGAATGATAAAGAGCACAAGCTTCTAGTTTTTGGAATTGGTTTAGGTTTGATAAATCAGAAAACTGTTACCAAGTAAGAGCACTGATTTATTGCTGGGTTCATCTCCTTTGGTGTACTAAAGGGACAGTGTTTCCAGTGCCATCTCAGGGCAAGACTTTGGGGCATTCCTCCATATTCCCTGGGCTCTAGGGTTCCCATGTAAAGGCAAGACGCACAAAGGTTGGATGAGCATCATGTTGTATTCAGGATATCTGGATCATTAGAGGCCCAAGCCCACAGCTCTCAGTATAGACAATATCTAACTGTTGGCCCTATCTTGGCTCGCAAAGATCAAGCACAGAACACTGTGCACCACCAGCGGAGAGGACAAAGCCAGCAACATGACCCCAGCCCTAAGTCAGTGATGGTACAAAGGGGTGAATTGAGATTTAAGTCTGTCTCGGCTTTTTTAAGGTCACTGATTCCCTTTAAAGAAACAAACCAACACAGGGACTTGTCTGTGCACAAACACACACACACACACAATAATTAAAAGAATTAACATGGGAATTAGTTTGTGTTACAACTCAAGGCTGTTGTTAGGTGGAAATTTGCCATATGCTCTCCAACACTAGACACAAAGAAGGACCATTTTGCCACTTAAACCTCCGTTTTGCTGTAGGATTGGAAAGCCCAGTGCTGTCGATTGGCTCCTTTAATTCAGAGCAAATTAATTGTGGGGGCTGGATATCAAGGTTACTTAGAAGTTCTTGGAAGCTCTTTCTTTCGGGCTGCTGAGCTTTTATTTTGAGGAGAAAGTAACACAAATAATAAAACACAGGAGTGCGTGGGCTTAGCGTGGAGATGACTTGGAGGTTTATATGTCTTCCTTCTTTTTTTTTTTTTTTTTTTTAAACAGTCCAATTATGTACCACATAGCAGCAACTGGGCTAACACCAGCCATAAGCCATATGATGGAATAGCTTGTAATCCGGTTGTGGGTCTAACTCCGTGAGACAGACTCCAAGTAGATGAGTTTTAAATCTCCTTAGAATTAAGAAGGGTTTGGCAACCAAATTAATTGTTTTGGAAAAATCCCGCTTTATGGATCATGAAGAGGATAAAAAGGGAAAAAACATGTCATCTGTAGTGGTTAGTCAGATGTTCTTTTGGAGTTACAACGATTTCCTCTCTAATTCCTCTCCTTGTTGACATTCCCGTTGAAAGAATAATGAGTACGATGTTCGTTGCCTTAGCGCTGCTCATCCCTGTGTACATTACGAAATCTTTGCATTAAGCCACCCAAATGGATTGAACCCCACCGTGAGGCAGACACTGCAAACAACTGCACTCAGCTGCGAGATGCATAAAAGCCGCGTATAAACCGATACGCTGCGCTACGAGGGGTGATAATCGCTGGGACCCTGTACAGGAGTTTGTTTGAAAGCGGTGGTGGGGCCCAGGCAGAGTGCACCACTCTGCTTTAGCAGGACTGAATTATTTCAGTCTCGGGATTTTTTAATATTTATGCAGTTACCCTTTTACCGGCGCGGTTGTGATGCTTTGAGAAAATATGTTCTATGTATTATTAATGCCATGTTTAAATAATGAGAGACAATTAAATGATCGCTGGGTGATAGTTTCCCAGGTGTATTTCTGTTTTATATATTTTGTAGGTCTGTGCTGTATTCTCACAGAGGTTACATTACTTAATTACCCCGTGCTTTTACAGAATTTTGGTAAAAATAGGTGTGCAAACAAAGATATTGTTATTTTACAGGTGGCATAAAAGCAGCTTCACTAGGGAGCCTGGTACTAATAGTCCTTTAATACAGAAAGGCAGAAGATGGTTCTTCACATGGTACAATAAACAGTGAAATATGCCAATTTTGACTTGATTTCTATGCTGCTAAACTACCCCACATTCATTTGCTTCAGCTTTAAGCCCTTCCATTCTCGTATTCTCTAGCCCTGCTTACAGAATTGCAGCTTGCTTTTCACCTATCTCCTAACAGTTTAACATGGATGTCTGGGTCCAGCCCATTGTTCCAATTGTATATAGTTTAAAAAGCTCTGCAGTATTTTACTCTTTCCATTATATCTTGGCTTCCCTGAGCGCTCTGCTTGCTGCATTTTGCTTGTACTGGCTCTGTTTTCTAAACCCATTTACGGCTTTTTCTTCTGTACACACTTGTTCATTGGGGAGCTTAAATTGACTTCTCTCCATTCTGTTTCCTTAACTAAAAATGCACCATTAAGGTTGATTGAAGTCTTTTGAAAACACTTCATAAAAAATGAAAGGCCATAAGAAATTAGGCTACCAGTGTTTGCAAATACCTGTTTTCAGCCAAATTGATGGGAGGGAATAAGAACTGAAATTTAAAAATGCTACTGATATGTATTTTGTTGCTAGTTGTTTTTATAAGAATAGAAGAAGCATGTTTAAAACATTTTGAGGAATAAAATACTGAGACGTTAACAAGACGTGCTGTGCAGTGGCTTGTTGTTGCAGAAAGCCTTTCCCCCCAAAAAACATCAGGCCCAGTTCTGAAGAGAGAAAATGGCAGAATGAACAGAAGTATCTGGATCAGTTATTTTCATGATTTTCTGTTGTAAAAAAAATATTTTTTACTTCAAATATTTCTCTTCAAAGAATACTGAAAAGTCTTTCTTTAAGAGTAACATTTGAACCACAGGATAACATATTTATCAGGAATAGGAGGACTTCGTAATAAATTGCTCTACAAATTGGAAAAAAAAAAGCTTAATTAAGTCAGTGAAACTTTGAGTGCCTTTCAGAACAAAAACATCTGTGCAGTGGCTGAGGATATAAAGTGTGTTTTACATTACCTACACGTATCCTTAATGAACAAAGCAGCTTCATTTCACGAATCAGCCACCAGGAATCAGGGAAGTCACTCTGAACAGTGGGCTGAATTGTCAGGGAAACTTTTATGGACATATGGAAATGCATCTGCTTTAAAAAGAGAAATATCAAGAGGGATTTGCACAAAGTTAAAAGCAAAGCAAGTGCTTTAGAATCAAAAGTGATTACATTGAAAATGGCAGCTTGCTTGTCAGAGCAGCTGAGGCGGCTCCTCACCAAACAAAATACTAATCGTTCCAGCTGTTTCCAGGCTCTCCTAATACTGATGCTTATCATTAAAAAGTACTGACTTTATAGAAATGTGAAAAGCTCTGAAAGAAAAATTATTTGATTTTAGTTTATTTTTAGATTTTTTTTTCAGACAGCTGCCAAACATGTTTTATTTACAAGATGTATTACTTCTATGGCTTTTTCTCTTTTCAGAAATTTAGATATTCATTCTGACAGTCATCTCACTAAGTGGAGACATCTAAAATGCAGAAGACTTTTAGTATAAGACCTGTGTTGCAGAATAGGAGCAAAAAAATCTGCATAGGGTGAGTTTTACAGTTTTAAAGGACTGTTTTTTAAAAAACCCAAATCCTAATATTGAAAAGCCACACCTACTGAGCCTCAAAATCAAACTCGGATTTGAATTCAGAATAAAAAAATATTTGTAAATGACAGCTGTTCCCAGGCTTTGCGTTTAATAATATGATGAATTTAAGATTTTTGTTCCTTTTTATGTTATAAAAGCAATAGAATAAACACTCCAGACCTCGGCTGCGGCAGCGTTTGATGGTGTACGTGAGCGCAGACTGTAGCAGACTGTATCACTTGCTTTAAGAATTCTCCTGTTAATGGAGGGAAAGAGCAGTGAGATCAACAAGCAGAGTAGCTGAGTACAAGGAGGTCATGCAGCAGCGCTGAGTTCTGTGGCAGAGCTACAAGGAAACCCTGTCAGCTTCCATCCCATTAAACGAGCCATGAGCTATGTGTTGGACTCGCTGGGATTACCAGCAAACCCCTACCAAGCTGTCTGCTGGCTCTTGCTCACATCCTCTATCAATTATTCAGTTCCTTTTATGCAAATAATGCTTCATGGAAGCAATGGAGATCCATAATGGGAAGAAGAGTAACATCCATTTAGGAGAATTAAATGGTAGATGAAAAGCGTGACACTTTGCAGGCAAAAGCTATTGAAATGGTGCAGTAGCAGGACTCTCTAAATGTCTGTGTGCAGGCGCAGACGGGGAGAGTCAAAGTTTTGTTTGC